CTCTTTCCACATTCTGAGCATTCAAAAGGTTTCTCCCCTCTGTGAATTATTTGATGCTTGTGAAGACTGTCACTTCGACTAAATCTCTTTCCACACTCTGAGCATTCAAAAGGTTTCTCCCCTGTGTGGGTTCTTCGGTGTACTTGAAGTTGGCTACTCCTACTGAATCTCTTTCCACATTCTGAGCATTCAAAAGGTTTCTCCCCTCTGTGAATTATTTGATGCTTGTGAAGACTGTCACTTCGACTAAATCTCTTTCCACACTCTGAGCATTCAAAAGGCTTTTCCCTTCTGTGGGTTCTTTGATGCTTTTGAAGAGTGGAACTCCGATTAAATCTGTTTCCACACTCTGTGCATTCAAAAGGTTTCTCCCCTGTGTGGATTCTTCGGTGCACTTGAAGTTGGCTACTCCTAATGAATCTCTTTCCACACTCTGAGCATTCAAAAGGCTTTTCCCTTCTGTGGGTTCTTTGATGCTTTTGAAGAGTGGAACTCCGATTAAATCTGTTTCCACACTCTGTGCATTCAAAAGGTTTCTCCCCTGTGTGGATTCTTCGGTGCACTTGAAGTTGGCTACTCCTAATGAATCTCTTTCCACACTCTGAGCATTCAAAAGGTTTCTCCTCTCTGTGAATTCTTCGATGATCTTGAAGACTGTCATTTCGACGAAATCTCTTTCCACACTCTGAGCATTCAAATGGTTTCTCCCCTGTGTGGGTTCTTTGATGCTGTTGAAGAGTGCCACTCTGACTGAATCTCTTTCCACACTCTGCGCATTCAAAAGGTTTCTCCCCTGTGTGGGTTCTTTGGTGCTGTTGAAGACTGCCACTCTGATTGAATCTCTTTCCACACTCAGAGCATTCAAAAGGTTTCTCTCCTGTGTGGGTTCTTTGGTGCTGTTGAAGAGTGGCATTTCGAATGAATCTCTTTCCACACTCTGGGCATTCAAAAGGTTTCTCCCCTGTGTGGGTTCTTTGATGCAGTTGAAGTCTGCTACTCCTACTGAATCTCTTTCCACACTCTGAGCATTCAAAGAGCTTCTGTGCTGCGTGTATTTTTTGGTGTACAAGAAGCTGTGGTCTGTATCTGAAGCACTTTCCACAGTGGCAGTATTTACATGCCTCCATTATACTGTGGTTTGGAAAACATACATTACCCATGCTTCCATTGGAGAATATCATTCCACTGTTGGAGCCGATAAATGGATTCACTTCTGAATGAGTCCACTGAAGACAGTTGTAGACTGGGATTTCATGGAAGCCCCCTTCATGGCGAGGAATGGACTGAACCCACCTCTTCACCAAATAGTTTCGTTCCTGCCTCTCTGGTCCATCTGTATTCTGTAAGTTTCCTTTGGTCTGTTCATTCTGGGATTTTTCAAGTGAGAATCCCTGAAATTCCCCAACTGACTCCTCAACGTCTCCTGGTGGAATAAAGGGGAAGGTCAAACCTCACTCACACGAGGAGCCAAGCCACCAATCAGAAACTCCCGATTAATGGGTGTGCATTTTATCTCCTGAGCCAATGGTCACAACCTTTCCCTGGCCAGCCTTTCCAGTAGAGGTTTTTCTTTATTGTGACTACCCCTCCCCTCCCCAGAACTCCCGAAATGGACTTTAAAGGGAAAAGCTGGCAAAGATCTGTTGCTCTGCCTTTCCCTTTTGCCTTGCCATGCAGGTCTTTTGATGATGAACTATGAAAAGTGATCATAATTTCTAGTCCTGGGATTGTACAGAGAGTTTCCATCCAGGTGTGATGACAGAGAAGAGGAGCTGGTCTTCAGACTCCCATAACACATGTCGGCTGGGGCAGGGGAGAAGTCAGGACCTCAGCAAGCGAACCCCACAGTTCTAAGGGAACTCCCATAGGAATACCAGCTGTTGGGGGAGAGAGGGAGGGGAGGCCTGGAGATGTTCAACTGACCACGGTAGGAAAAGGCTGATGGGCGTCTGACTCGTCCAGCTAAGCTTTTCTTAAGTGAATACCTCACCTTTCCCTGGAATAGCCAGTATTTAAAGACAGTGCAGATCCTAAAGGGAGTAAAAGAGCCACAACTGAGCTCAGTCCCAGAAAGAATTTCCAGGATCTCAGGCCCCAAAAGGCTTCCCTCCTTACCCAGAGGGCTTTGTCATTCTACCCAACCAAGAGTCGCTAAGAAGTGAAGCAGAAATTGGCTATGGCTATTCTTTGCCCATTCCCTTGACCTAATGATGATGAAGCAGACTCACTTGCAGCCAGTTCTCTCGGGAAGAAAATATTCTGTTGAGATCCAGTTGAGAAACTTGTCAGGCCTTCGTCTGTCTCCACTGAAGTCTCTCGCACATTCGTGCCTTCTTTGGGGGAGAGAGAGAGAAAAGAGGAGGATGAGTGACCCAAGGCCTTTGTCTGTTTCCACCTCAGGCCGTAACACCCACCCTGCCTCTCAAGATGGCCACGGCACTGGCCGCAGTGGCCCCTGGACCAGCCAGGTGTGTTGGCTGCTTTCACTGCCACCTCAGCTCCGGGAGTCGTCCAGAGGGGGTGAGGGCAGGGCCAAGCCACACAATGACATATTGCTCTTCAATATTTTGATTCACACATAATCGCAATGGCAGCAAATCACACCTTCGGCACCTAAGCAAGATCCTTACCCAGAGAGGCCACATTCTCATAGTTCTCCAACATGACTTCACAGTAGAGTGCTCTTTGGCCTGGATCCAGCAGGGCCCACTCGGCCACGGTGAAATACACGGCCACATCCTCAAAGGAAAATGGACACTGAAAGAAAAGGCAGACTTCCTCATCAGAGATCGTGCCAGGCAAGACTGCACCCAGGAAATGGGCATCCTGGGAGGGTGGAGGACGGGGTCAAGGGAGTGGCCTTCATAGGCTCTCTTGCTCAGACACCTGAGAAGTCACTGCAGGAACAAAAGCCCCCCTTAGAAAGGAGGGAGAAATCAGGCGGTCCCCTGCTCATCTCCCTTACCTGGACTGCAGGGGCAGCAGCCGTTTCCACTCCTCCATAAAGATGATGACTCAACACTGTCTCTTCACTGCCTGGGAGGGAGAGAACGTTGGAAGAAAGGGTCTGAGCCTAGACTTCGCATTTTCTTTGCTTGTGCATATCCTGCCTCATGCTCACCTCTTCCCACAGCTATGAAACCTTACCCTGTCTACAGTCAACAGTCAACAAAATGTGTGACAATTTTGAGTAAACTCCAGGTTCCTATGAGCGTCGGGGGACGGACGGACGAACACTGCCAACACGTTTCAGACTCCTGTGACACTTGAAATTTATCCTGTGAACTCCAAAACCATTCTCTCGCTGGCTGGGCCCTCCCACGTGCCTTTGAGTTCGGGCTTTCAGGAGAAAGGGGTGGTGGTGAAGAAACGGGGTCAAACGATACATCACAATCACACCTGTGCAAAACCCCAGATGTGACATTAGTACACCTGAGAACTCAAGCGGTCTCCAGAGTGTCTGCTGATGCTCTGATATCACGTCTGGATTCTCAGCAGGATGAGACATCGCTGCGACATCACCTCTAAAGTTCCCGGGGGTGCCAGGTCAACTTTTCTTTTCTGAGCCGCCTTGAGTTCCGCTAACGGAAGGTACGCGAGATAGGATTGTTTGTTTCTTTAATATGCGTGTGTATGCAAATGGAAGTCATGGTGACCTCTGGTGAATGACCACCCTACTAAGGGCATGGAGGACATTCAGAGAGGTGGCTGAATAAAGCCTGCCCCCGCATACCACCTCTGGTATTTCAAGGAGGTCTCCCATCCAAGTACTTGCCAGAGTTGACCCTGCTTAGCTTCCGAGATCTGACTTACCTGGGCTATCCAGGTCAGGGTGTGAGGTAGGAATACTTTGGTTAACACATGGAGTTCACTCATGCAGGAAGTAATGGCAGCTACAAGCATAGAGAGCTTCCAGAGGATTGGATGAATATCTGGAGCAGAGGTCCACGAGTGGTTATTAGCCACAAGGTACAGATGGAACTCTATGTGTAGGGCAGTGATTCCCTGTGGGGCTTGTGGGGCTACAGCGGGAGAAGTCTAGGAGCTCTGGCCATGCTGGTGGTCCTCTTGATGGAACCTGGGTTTGGGGCCACTGTGTGACACAGAGTCATGGACCAGAGGGGCCATTGGCCTGATCCAACATGGCTGCTCTTATATTCTCTTGTGTTCCTATGAGAAGGGGATTGCCCTTCATGAATATGTGTAATTCCCCCTTCAAGTGAGTGGCCACCATTACATCTGATGGCACATAGTCTCAGCAGTGTGTGGTGTGCAGAAACATTTCTTTTTTCTCCTGTCCTGAACGTTCTATCTAACAAATTCCCCATGTGCCCAAACCTGGGCACAAGGCACCCTTACCACGGGAGAGAGAATCCTGGGAACGCTCCTGGGCCTGCGCCTTCTGCTCCTCCTCCCAAGGAGACCCTTCCTCCTCAGAGAACTTCACTTCCATCTTCACCGAAGGTCCCCAAATCTGAAACTGCAGGAAGGGATACAGGTAAGAGGAGGAATGCGAAAGACCGAGGAGACAGATCTTGCCCCTGCCCATCCTCACCCCTGCATCAATCGACACAGCTGCTTCAACCACAGCGGCAAGAATCAGGGTTTTGGGTTTCTATCAACCCTGGTGGAGTGTCTGGAGGGACACATATCGGGTAGGGAGGCCTTAGGCTAAGGTCAAAGGTCACAGCTAGAACGGACAGCATGAAGCTCCCTCACCTGCTCTGCCTGCCGCTTGTCCTCTGCCCGACTCAGGAGGAAGCCCTCGGCCAGGGACACCGCCTGGGAACTGGTCTCTGGTCCGCATCCTCTGACCCAGCGCTGCATTTCCTCGGGTGGGACGGCCGGGAACTGTCCGTGGAGCTGGCTGCAACCCTCTCGGGGCCCAGCAGCCTCCTGGTAGCAGAACTGCCAGAAACACGGGCGATGTTCCTCTAAGATCCCAGTCTCCTGATGCTGCAACTCTGGCACCGCTCTTTCCCAGAGTTCAGCACCACTCCCCACCTGGATGGGAGGGGGGTCTTTTCTTGCTGCCTTGCCAATTCCTGGTCCTTCTGGGCCCTGCTCTTCCATCTCCTTCCCCTTCTCTTGGGCCATCTCCAAATGCAAAAAGATGCCTTTACTTACTTGGTATGAAGAGGGAGAGGGGAATATATCAAAAAGGCAGAAGGGAACCTAAAAAAGATGGAGCTACATCACTGACCCTAGTCAAGAAGAAGACGCACCCAGGATCGCCCTACAGAATCGGAAGGAGCGTCCTTGTTGTGGTTTGCGGATCACGGTTCATGTGATTGTGCTAAATTAACTATTGTAAACCGGTATGAACTATTGTAAACGTCTCCTAAGGAGGCCCACCATAGGATCCAGGTCCTGATGACATACACTTGAGAGTTCTTAAGGATGGGAGATAGTTGATCCACTAACCCCTAGATGTAAGCTATCATGAGATTCATCCATCCTACCTCAAGACTGGGGAGTAGCAAATGTTACCCCAATTTTTAAATATGGATCCAGAGGGGAACCTGGAAATTACAGGCCAGTCAGCCTCACATCTGTCCCGGGCATATTAGTGGAAATCTGTAATCAAAGACAGAATCAATGGTTAGGCACATGGAAGGACAAAGCCTGCTGAGGGAAAACCAGCACGGCTTTTGCACAGGGATGACCTGCCATAACAGAGTGTGGAGAAAGACAGTGGACAGATATTTTTCTCCCTTTCCCAAAATACTAGGACTTGAGGGCATGCAATGAAGCTGATGGGCAGGAGGTTCAGGACAGACAAAAGGAAATACTTCTGTACGCAGGGGGTGTTTAAAATGGGGAGTCTGCTTCCAGAGGACGTAGTCATGCCCGCAGGAATAAACAGCTTTCAAAGGGGACTAGATAGATTCATGGAGGGTAAGTCTAGCTACCAGCCCTGGTGACTAAAGGGAAATTCCACTTTCAGAGGCACTAAAGCTTAGTGCCTTTGAATCCCAGAGCAAAGAGGCTACAACAGGGGACGGCCTCTCTGCCCTCTTGTTGGCCCTCCAGAGGACTGGTTTGGCCACTATGGGAGACCAGATGCTGGACTAGATGGACTATTGGTCCGATCCAGCAGTGCTCTTCTCGTGTTCTCACTACAGGGGTCCTGTCGCTGATGCCACGATCCTTGCAGTGATGTGTTTCCAGGTGCCCTTTGTCCCTCCTGGCCTTTTGGACGTGGGCAGGCTGGTATTTGGGGGGGGTTGTCTCTCTGCCTGTCCTAGGGGGGGGGGAGTTGCCTTGTGCTGTGGACTCATGGGCAGTGGTGGTATTTCCATCGAAGCCAGTGGCGTTGCTAGGCTCTTTGCCCCTCGCAACTGGCGTTTTTAAAAATATATATATTTTAAATAAAGAAAACCCCGTCCCCACTGCTGGGGGGGCCTTGGATACCCACTAGCAACCCAGGACGGGGCTGTGGTTGATTCCCATTCAGGTAGAAATTACGGGCCCCCCACTCCACACATACACACATGCAAAGACCTTTTTCACTTAGGGACCGAATTAGGGCTCTTTGCATCTGCCAGCCCTCCACATGATAACCAAACCACAGAAGA